TGTTAAAGTCATCCACGTGTGGTGTTTCTATTGCAGCAGTAATAGATAACTAAGACAGACAGGCACAGAATTTACCTTTTTGGGCTCAGCAGTCACAGTATTTGGTTTTGAAAGAGACAAAAGAAAATCAGGCCTATCGGGTCTATAAAGGCCCACTTTAAATGTTCCTCGTTTAGCTTTCTCTCTCTGCTCTTTCAGTTTTTGAAGCTGCTTTTCTTCTTTGTATTTATTTAGCATTTCTTTCCGTTGATCTAGGATAATTTTAGCAGATCCTAAGCAAAACAAAACAGAGAAGAATCAAACAAAACCCACAGACATAAAACATTTCACAAAAAGTTAACACAAGAATCTCAAAAATAATTTTGTCTAGCTTCAGGTGCTAAGAAATGCTTTTAGTCACTTTTTGTTAATTCCATAGCACTTTAACTGCAGTTATTTCAAATCTTTACTATTTTTAAACATCATGATTCCTCTTCCTCCCCACATCCAATCCTTAAGAAAATCCTTTTGGTTCAATTTTCAAAACACATTCAGAACGTAACAATTTTGATGCTATGTGCTCTATCACTACACTCAACCATCAACTCTCACCTAAATGATCACAACCGTCTTATAACTGGTTTCTCTCATGACATGTTTGTCACAATACTAACTATTCTCAACACAGCAGTCCTCTTAAAACATGAATCAGAACATGTAAAGACCCAGTTAACTCAGAACAAAAGCCAAAGTCCTTATTTATAAAGATAGTCTTCAGAGCCTGATGAGACCTAGCTCCCCATCTTCATTCTTGTTTACTTGCTTCCTCTGAAACACACTAGGCCCACCCCCACCTCTGGGCCTTTGCAAATGGAGTACAAGCAAATAATTTTTGTATAGCGATCGGCATATTGAGAGCTGCATTTGAGAGATTTTAGTCAAGAAACTGGAGCATTTGAAAGGGAGACTAGAGAGGTTAGGAGAATACTTAAGAGGCAGTGACATCTTTTCTCCAATGATGTTTGCTTCATCCTCTAAAAGCCATCCTGTATCATTCTATGCCACAAATTTCATTTCCTCCCTATTTATAAGACATGTTATTATTGTACTCTCTCCCCTTCAACTACCAGTTCATTTCCTTTGACCTTCAAACATGCATTAATCACCTCATCTCAAAAACAAAGTCAAAAAAGAACTCTACAATATTTCTGTTCAATTCCTTCCTCTCATTTTCCTTTTGAATCACAAAAATGTTCAAAATCTACGAGAAATTTTTAGCCCAATGTCCTATTTTACAGATTCAACTTGAATACATGCAGTGGCTTCTAGGAATTTATTTTCCAATATCAGTATGGC